CAGAGGGCCGCAGAGAGAGTAAGGCTTAGGGCCGCAGAGAGAGAGTAAGGCTTAGGGCCGCAGAGAGAGAGTAAGGCTTAGGGCCGCAGAGAGAGTAAGGCTTAGGGCCGCAGAGAGAGAGTAAGGCTTAGGGCCGCAGAGAGAGAGTAAGGCTTAGGGCCGCAGAGAGAGTAAGGCTTAGGGCCGCAGAGGGTTATATTCCATAAATACTGGTCACAGAACAACAGAGCCAAACGTGTATGGCGCCCCATACCCCAATAACTCCTGAAATCACTTTCTGTTTTAATTGGTTTTACTTACCAGTTTGTTACTCAACTCTGATTCCACACACGGACCAGCAGTCTGTCCATTTTACCATGCATTCATTGAAGAGGTTTCACAGTGTTCCTTTTTAATACGACTCAGAATGACATTTTACACACATTTACTCCTTACCTTTAACTGCATGTCTAAATGGAATATGAGTTTCTGCACTGAAAAGATTGATCCCTTTATTAAAATACCTGCTATGGGTGGTTGTACTGCCTCCACGTTTGTTGTTGGATCATCTCATGTTGAAAGAATACACAGGGCACATAATGGCACTATTCTGTTGTTATTTGAATAAAAAAGTTTTCAAATAACTGCAGTGCTTGACTTTCCACAAACATTGAACAGCTGTGAACATTAAGCAGGCAATTTAAAACAACTAATTAAAATAATGATTGAGAATTTACTCTGTGGCAGTCCTGTGTAGTTTAACCTGCTGCTCTTTCAGTGTGCTGAGCATTTTAAAGCATTCTGTAAAATGTTTAAACACATGCAGTGTGTCTGTCATGCAAACAGGGCTTCCACTAAATTAATGCTAAATAAGTTTTATTTTGTTAAGTTTGTGGGACTAAAGGGGTTTTTTACATCCTGTTCAAAATTCTGGAAATACCACAAATTGCGAATTACTGCTTAATTCAAAATTCCAATTATAATGTCTATTTCCTTTTATATAAACATTTAATTACAATTAGGCCTTAGATTATCTATTTATGTCACTTTCAGAGTCTTAGTGACAAAGAGACAAAATCAATGTTCCATATTGAATCAGAATACTGTATACCAGGTAGGGGTGGCGCAGTGGTGCAGTGGTGCAGTGGCGCAGTGGTCAGTGCTGTTGCCTTACGTCTCTGCCAGGGTTCCATGTGTGTGGAGTTTGCATGTCCTCCCTGCGTCATCGTGGGGTTTCCTTCTGCTACTCTGGTACCCCCCATGCACCCCCGATCTAAAAAACAAAACATGCTGAGAATAATTGAAGTTGCCAAATTGCCCCTAAATGTGAATGATGTGTGACTGTGCCCTGTGATGGGTCGGCGATAGGCTCTGGACCCACTGTGACCCTGAACAGAATAAGCAGTTTCAGAAAATGGATGGATATGTCGGGTACTTGCTGAACGCATGAGAATGTCTAACCTGATAATGAATGAATTGAACTGGACTTACTGGTTCCTCATTTATCATGGTTCCTGCACATATGGAACACGTCTAGGAAAGAATACACTGCTCTCCCCCAGGAATGAAACACCCGGGGATGCTGAAGAGGACTAGAATAAAGAGTATAGCAGGACAAAGGGCCACTCATGAATTGTCAGAATCGTATGATAACAGCACCATTCTGCCGTTCCCTGGTATGGTCACTCGAATAACATGATCCAGGTATATAAGATTCTAACGGGTCTGGATGCTGTTAAAACAAGTAGTTACAATATTAGTACAAATACAGGAAGTCATGGCCACAGGAGGAAATTAGCAAAAGAACATTTTAAAATGGATTTCATAAAGCACTTCTTTACACAGCATGTAGTCAGAGTATGGAATAGTCTTCCTGTTAGTGTAGCGCAAGCTAAAACCTTGGATTCCTTTACATTACAGCTAGATAAGATTTTAACAACTCTGAGCTATTAGTTGAGTTCTCCCCAAATAAGCCTGATATGCCGAATGGCCTCCTCTCGTTTGTAAATTTCTTGTTTTTTATGTTTCTTATACGTGACAAATCTTTTTTAAACCTTACCTTCAGAACATCAGGTCACATTCAGCTAATTATGGGCTTGAGGATTAGATAATAATAATTAATTAATAATTATTGATACTTTTATTGTCCCCGTGGGGAAATTGTCTTTACGCCTCCCTCAGCTTGCTCTGTAGAGTAAGTTGTCCGCGAAGATGACTGGTTTAATCAGATTCTCTGGTGATGGAGTAGAGTTTTGGGCTGCCAGAATATTGGGTTGATATTTCTGCCTATTTTAAAATATAATAACTTTCAGAAGAATGAACTGAGGTTGCAAATAGAAAGGTGTGTTGAGGTGTGCTTGTTTCACTGTGTTTTGGCAACATAGAAAGCTTTAAGATTTAAATTAGCCTGAAACACATAAAATAGGGACAGTTTCCCTTTAAGAAAAGCAAGCAATCTGGAGATAAAATATATATAAGAACACACATAAATATCCAAACCATTGAGAGGCCTCCCAGCCAGCCTCCTCAGATCCTTTCTCCAAAATTCTTCTCCTGAATCCACCCCACTGACTACGAAAGCCTCCGATAAGTCGTTTAGGCCAAGCAGGGTCAGCTGGTTGGTCTGCAGGCAGTGGGCTGGAGATCAGGCCGTCCTCAGCCATTATGCTGTCACTCCATGTCCCGTTGCGGCATCACTGAAACTCTGCAATCAGTCAACCATTAATCCGTAGTATTATGATTCCATTCAGCCCTGCACGCTCATACAGGATCCATTTGGTTGGAAACACCACCGTTAGGTAAGTTTTTTCCTGGTGCCTGGAGGGCCAATCCTGCCACCAGCACTCAAATTTTCCCTGGAAGCTGAAGGACCTGCTGGCTGGGCTGGACGTAAGTTAACGTCATTCTCAGGATGAAGCAACTGCTGTGTAAGGGCCTTGCTCAAGGGCTCAACAGAATAGAATCACTTCTGACATTGACGAGATTCGAACCGGCAACCTTCTGACTGATACATCCCTAGCTTCAGAGCCACCACTCCGCCCACACAAATCATTTAGAAACCTGTAAAGATGCAAAAAATAAAAAAAGATGATTTCTTGAATAAATGTATGTAACATTATCTCTCTGTCTTATATACAGTTTATCCAGTATAGGGCAGTGATAAGCCTATATTTCAGAACTATGGTGGGTTCTGTCCTATAGGCAGGATAAAAAGTAGAAAGGTGACTACTGCCCCCTTGTGGTAATTCAGAGTCATCACCCCATTAAGAGTTTTACCAATGTATTTTAGTATCTATATACGATTAATAAAAAGTTGTAAATAGAGTAGAATAAATTATGTTCATAATCAGTTATCAACCAATTATTATAAGAGCACAAGAAATAGAGTATGTGTCCCCAACGCATCACTAAGAAACACCTGCCCTACTCTGTAAACAAATATTTTCTTTTTTCCTGCTTTTGTTGATCTAACTTTCCAGTCCTTGCATGATGACCTGTTAGGATTGTATTTAATTCCCAGCGTGTTTTACTGAACCCAAATGCAGCACTATCGTTATAAGGCAGAATGATGCAGCATTCCAGCATTCTCAATAAGGCATCAGCACTGACCTCCAGCTCTTAATGACATTTTTCTTTGGTTGGTTCAGACTCTCTATCACATGGTGTTTTATGCTAAATGAACAACAGCAGTTTGGTTAATAGCATGTTGAGGATTAACGTTGAATAAATCATCCTCCTGGTTTCTAGCATACAGCTTTTTAAACAGCAGAACATAACTGTAACAGCTATGAAAAGTGAATTCGATACAGACAGACGCCCTCCAGCACCTGCAAAAGAAAATGTGAGGTTATGCTGTCTCTGCTACGTATTTCTAATATCCCAAATTTATATGTATTTTTGCCATCCTATCACCCGTCCTGCTCTAATTCATGTTCAAAGCAGCTACTGTATTTCATCAGACTACTTCCTATTTACTACATCCATGTCCACTAATTTTACTCATTCTGCAGTGTAATGGGTTATAACACAACCACACAGTTATGTAGTAGTGTTGAAATAATATAATTAACATTCACAATGTCCATCTTCTAAGCACGTATGCTGCTCAGGGTTGTGGAGGGTGGGAATGGAGCCCCTCCCAGGCAGGACGTCATGGGTGGGACGCCAGTTCACGGCAGAGCACATACAATCATAATGTATGAGCAATTTCTGAGATGCCAGTTCCCAGAGGAAACACACAACACAAGGAAAATATGAACCCCCCCCCCCCCACAAAGCAGGGGCAAGATTCGATGTCACAACCCTGAAGGCAGAACTGGCCAGTTATGCCCTAAAAATGATGTCACTGTATCTTCAGAGTTTCGCGATATTAATATTTATCGCGATACTCTGAATTTCAAATGTAGAAAACAATAAAATATGACAGGTGATTTTGAGCTTTTCTGATTACGACGACCAGACTAATAGGTACAATGATAAATGACGCCAATGACAGACTTATACCTTGATGGAATTTAACAGAGTGCATTGTAACTATTAATTATGCAAGAAAAACAAGTGTTTCAGCAGTACCATGGTGCGATATTCAGGCTGATGATGATATGAGTGTTCATAATCACAATACGGTATTTTTCTGATGTACCACCCAGTCATACCTGGAGGTGTGAGCCACTATACTAGCGTTTCTCAAACCGGTCCTTGGGGGCCTCGAGACAGTCAATGTTTTTGCTGGGAGGGAGCAAAAACTTTGTCTGTCTGGCAGGGAGCCAGAAAGGAGCAAAAATGTGGACTGTCTGGGGGCACTGAGCTGGGAAACACTGCACCATACCGCTCGTTAGTTATTTACATGTAATACAGCACCTCAGATAAGCATCCATGCATGTGTGTTTGTGTGTATTTACATGCTCAGAATGTATGTGTGGGAGGAACTGAAACAGCAAAATGAGGTCCTCAGCCAGAGCTGGCCACCATGTGCAGGACAAGCGCCGTGCTTCGCAAAAGTGATTCCACTCTCAGATATATTAGGAAAGTGCAATGGATCCATTTATTTGTCATACAGCAGTTAAGAAAAGGGACGTATAAAAAGAGAATTATTTTGCCCTGAGACTTTTAGGTTTATCAAACTGCAAAACAAAATTTAAAAAAAATTATAAAAAAAAACGTATCAGTAAAGTCAATAAATCATCACAGAAACATCACAGAACTTTTAACCCACAGTGGACAGTCACCACATGCTGCCAATCACAGTCTGCATCACCCTAAACGGAGCCCTTAAAGTGACCAATAGGAGGCGGCTGCCGGGGCACAATAATCCCACCCACCATGGATGTCAAAGCTTTATTTCTGCCTCATCTATTACACTTCGAGCAAACTTTACTTTTATTACTTTGACAATAACAGAAACAGATCAGTGATATGTATGGAATCCTCAAAGTCAACATTTAAAAGGATATTATTTTAACAGCAGATAAAAAAAAACATGTATTTCATTGTGTGGGAGCAGTGACTAAAAATAAATGAGTGATTATTTGCTTGACAGACGTTTGGCAAGAAAAAGTACAACACAAAGCAGTCCATACCAGTGCTGCAAATGGACAAATTAACAGATTTAAACAATTACAATTAATAAGCAGCAACGGTGACACCTCAAAATCATCATCAGCTTGGTCCATCTGTAAGGGACAGCTGTTCTTCCATCATGTATTCTACATGGGAGCTTTACCTTTGCAAGCTAAAGAAATCTTGTGGTTTGAGTCTGATTGTCCTCAGCAAGGGATTGCTGGGTAATTAAATGATTTAAATGGTGAACTCTGATTGATGAGTCACTCTTCCCTTTTTTCCTTAGAAAAAGATGAACCGGACTTCACTGTTTACAGGTATTCACTCAGCACATTGTTTTTTTTAACATCTTCAGTGAGCTCCTGTAAGGACACATACCCACCACGACATAACAAAGCATCTCCAAGCAGACTCTGCACATTACTGACGACGCAAAGCGTTTGCACATTTACTCAGAAGCCCTTATTTCACACATTTTCATCATGCTTGCACTTCCCGGGATTCCAAAGTTACGTGTGGTCCATTCTATGACTTTAACAAAGACTTCTTCCTTTATGCAGCTGCCTAATCTTTCAAAAGGAGAACTGCTCGTTAGCCACCAAGCTGGGAGGGAGGTGGGGCGTCTTCACAGAGATTAAACCTTTTTGCAATAACAAAACTGGTGAAAAGATAAACGATTTCATAAAATGGAGTGTGCGAGACACAGGTGGTCAGTTAGCGTGCATACATGTGACAATGGCCAAATTGGGCACACCTGCACTTAACTGATCACTAAGCTCTAACGATGGTGACGACAATGTTCACGACTCAAGTAACAGGAAATGAAGACAATACTGATAATGCAATAATGTGACCCTGTTTGACAGCTTCTCACAAGCTATTAGCTACCTGTGCTCCAGTGCTGCATGGTAGCATCTCACATATAAAGAAACATTATACAAGATCTCCTGTACTCACTTGTAACCTGTTTACTGCTGATTATAGATTATTTATGTAGCCGCTCTGTGCTTTAATGCACTAACTACAGCATCCGCTGACTTATACGCTGCTTTGGGCCAAAGCAACTACTAAATAAATAGATGTAAAAGGCCAGTATGATAATATATTAGGTTCTAGACCAAAGCTGACACAATAAGGAATACAGAATAGAAACCTATTTTCCACCATATACTTCATACAGTTTATTTTAAAAGCAGTATGTATGGAGGCAAATCCAATACGGGAAGGTTTAAAGGCCCAGCAATAGCTGGTGACTGTATACAGTTTTAAAAATACGCTGTATTAAGCGAACAGGGAGTGTGGGGCTTTATACATGCTATAATATACGGCATGCATCCTATTACCCACAGCGCTCCACTGCTAAATAATACTGTACTACATAATCTTATAACACTTCTTGCATCTCAGATTGTTACTGCCTTTAAAGAATGTTAAAAAATAACTCTTTAAAAAGGAACGCAGTTCCGCTTGACTTTAAAAATTACAGTTTGTAGTAAAAAAACTGCCATCTTTGTACAAGTTAGATAACATCTCTTAAGCGAAGCAAATAAACGAAAGCATCGTCTTCTACTACACTGTAGTAACGCGATAAACCAGGATGCATTTCTGACGGTACTGTATACGCAAAGGTGGCCCTGTGGATGCGGGGCTCTTCTCACAGGGCCTGAAAGAGAAGCCGCTCCTATCCACACCTCCTGCTTTTTGGAGGGAAGTGCTTTCCCTCGTCTCCATAAACCCTTGTCCTGCAGAGGTTACATACGACTCCAGAAAAGCCCCGGAAAACTCTCTGTGTCCACCATGCTTAGACACCTGCCATGGGCCAGAAGTAATGGACCAATTGATCTAGAACGGGGTGAGCAGGCAGGGGGCAGTGTGGGAAACCATAAGAGGACTTACTGCTGTCTATCGGGATTCGCACCTGTGACCATGGGACATAAAAGAGGAATGATTAAGTGTGAAGGCTCATGGGAGTTTTACTTACACAAAAATGTTCTTAGAACAGAATGAAAAATGATTGGTTTAGAGAGATAACCAATCACATTGTAGAGGAGGTGGGTCCAAGCAACTAGAGGAAGCAGAACCAACCAATCAGATATCTTGGTCCCCCCAGCCTCCTCTACAATCTGATTGGTTATCTTTCGGAACCAATAATTTTTTGTTCTGTCCTCAGACCAGTAAAGTATAACTCCCATGGGCAGTGTGAAGTCAGGAGTATGTAAGTGCAGTGTGACCAGCTAACAATCTGCAGTGGTCACTGTCAGAATGGGCAGGGTTGCCACCACTTTACTCTGATTGCACTGGGAGTATCCTCTTCATAACACAATCACTGCTCTTATTTCCTTTCAAATCCCCACCTCTGTTCTTCAGTCCATGTCGAGAGCTAAAAATGTAACTGAATACGGTTATAACGGATGCTGGGGGATTTACTGCTCTAGGAAAGCGAAGGATATACATGGAGCCGGTACACCAGTCCGTCAAACGGAACCTGGGTGGGTCTACAGCTGGGAGTCGGACCCCAGGCTGCTGAGCTCTTCGGGGCAGTACTTCTCAGTCCCCAACGCATTCTGGCGGAAACCTGCGGTGATTTCGTCGAACGTTCGGCCCTTGGTCTCCGGCACCTTGAAGTACGTGAAGATGAAGAATCCCAACAGCAGGAAGGTAAAGATGATGAAGACGTAGGGGCCACAGAGTTGCTATGGAGACCAGGAAAAGGGACATGATCACCATCAATCGATTAATCACCGGAGGAGGACATACCTCCAACAGAGGAATTCCGAAACCGGAAAGTAAAACTTAGTAAAATGTATAGTAAAAACTAAAAGCTACAAAGTAGCCATGGACTAGTGATGGTGACGCATTTATCGTAAGTGTAGCCACACTGAGAGAGCCGACGCTGCCTGGTTCTGCAGAGCGGCTGCCTACCTCCACATACTGGAAGCACATGCCCACGATGAAGTTAGCCGTCCAGTTGGAGAAGCCGGCCACGGCGATGGCAGAAGGCCGCGGGCCCTGGCTGAACAGCTCAGCTACGATGAACCAGGGGATGGGCCCGGGGCCGATCTCGAAGAATGCCACGAAGCTGAAGATGGCCACGATGCTGACGTAGGACATCCACTTCAGCTTCTCCTGTGGTGTCGGAGAAGGTGGGGACAGGGGGTCTCAATAACAGCAGGCCACTCTGCCGAAAGCGGGCTCTCGAGTCTAGACGTGGTGGAAGTGAGTGAGGGGTGACAGAGAGGAGGAATACATACAATCAGCGCCATGGCGATGGTCATCAGGACAGCGGAGATGGCCATTCCCATCAGGCCTATGAGGTGCAGGGGGCGTCGGCCGGCTCGTTCCACCACAAACAGCTTTGGGGGGAGGTTGGGTGCTCAGAAACTTCTGACTTATGGGATTTTCTAATGTATTTTAACAACCACATAGAACAGAAGCCGTCAGGCAGCACAGAAGCGCCCTGCACATCTTACCGACACCACGGTAAACGCCGTGTTGACGACACCAGTTCCGATGGTGGCATAGATTGGCTGAGCCACGCCGGTCCTTTCGAAGATCCCGGTTGAGTAGTAGAACACCTGGAAGACGAGCCCCAGCGCCATCTAGTCACACTGTCATACCAAGCATGAAGAACCATGCGTGTGCGTGCGTGCGGTGCGTGAGGAGCTCACCGCGTTGATCCCTGACAGCTGCTGGGAGAGCTGCAGCATGATGGCGATAAAAATCGGCTGGCGGTACAGCGGCGACAGGAAGAGCTCCAAGATGGTCACCTTCTTCTCCCGCAGCATCTGCCGGCTCTCGTCCTTCATCTCCTGCAGGTCGGCGTTCACGTCCGTGGTCCCCCGCAGCTTCTTCAGCACTGATGAAGCCGGACACAGACACTTAAACGCTTTAACTGCGCCACATGATAGGGGCCTGGTATCTGACCAGCATCCATCCAACAGCAAGTTGTCCAGTCACTCTGCAGACACTTATCTGAAGTCACACACACTCACACCGGCTCATGGCTCTACGCCCACTTGTATGGCTGGAAATGAAGTGGATAGTTTGGGACGAGTGTCCCACTCAAAGATACAAGAGTAGCGCCCTCCCAGAATGCCATGCAGGTGTCCCGGGCACCAGGCCTCACCGCTCTTGGCCCGAGTCTCCTGGTTGAGGTTGATGAGCAGGTAGCGGGGGCTCTCAGGACAGAGGGGCAGGAGTGCACACTGCACCACAGCGGGGATGAAGGTGAAGCCCAACAGAAAGGGCCACATAGTCATATTGCCCATGAGAGCCTCCAGGCCAAACACCTGCCAAGGGCAGCAGCAGAATGTCAAACCAAAATCTAACAGCCTTAATACATGTTCCACCACGATCAATTACGGCTGTTTCAGAAGCTTAGCTGACACATAATAACTTACACAGCTCACAGTTACAGGCTATACCAACAGTGTGAGTGAAATGATTTATGGGTAACCTCAACCAAAGGTGCAACAGTGCCCTCTATCCCAGGCTCCTTGAGAGCCATTACAGACTGTAAAATTACGAAGTTAACAGAAAGAAATAAAACTGAGGAGTCACAGGACACAGGGGGTGTTTCTCAATAGCAATAATGTAAAGACCGTACTTGTGGTCTTGGAAAGGCCGGTCTTGCTAACTTGCTTCCCAAGAACGAACTTGGGGCACAATGAATCATGGCATTGGTCTTGTTTGGCGAGGATGCAACTCATGAATAGGCCTACTTGATATTTGGGACGGGGCAAGAACGACAACAGGGAGATTGTGGGCAGTGGTGTCTTAATGGTTAGGGAAGGGCACTTGTCAGTGAAAGATTGCTGGTTCGAATCCCCAACCAGCAAGGTACTGCTCCGCAGGCGCTTAATTAGCTGCCCCCTCCTATGTCACAATGTCACATATGGGTTAAATGCAGAGGACACATTTTGTTGTTGTGCACTGTGTGCTGTGGTGTGTCAACAATGACCACTGATCACCTAATTCATTTACCATCCCCTGTACTTCTGTTCTTGAGTATTGGAACTGGTCTTCAGCAATGGAAGATGACGTAAAACGGATGCATGAGAAGACAAGTATGGCCAAGTGAGAAACACTCAGGGATTCACAGCAGTAAGGAAGTGGCCCTGAAAGAGTCAGGGGACGTCCCATCTGGAGAAAGTGCAGGTTGGGCAGCAAAACGATGGCATATGGTCAGACAGGCCCTAAACATTTCTGCTGTGTCACCTGTGCCAGGAGGATGCCAATGACGATGCCCAGTTGGTGCAGGGTGCCCAGAGCCCCTCGGAGGGAGGTGGGAGAGATCTCTCCCACGTACATGGGCACGAAGCCTGTACAGAGTCCCGAGAAGAGTCCCACCACGAATCGACCGGTGATCAGCATCTCCCAGGATGCTGCCATCTTGGAGAAGCCCATGAGGGCGGCTGCCACGAAGGCCAAGACGTTCACCATGAGCATGGAGTTCTTCCTGGAGGCCCAAAGGGGAAGGATCAGGGCCAGAGCTGGGGATACCCCCCAGACAGAGAATGACATCCCCACATCTGATAAATGATCGTGCACCCAAATGGTTTCAGGTGAGGATCTGCTCTTAACAAAATATCCGGCCAACATTTCAGTACCATACAGGCGTTTATTTACACCCAAAATTTGGTAAGCAGATTAATAGTAGTATTAATAGTAGTATTAGTTGACTAAATGTTTTATGAAGCATATTGTGACCCAAAAGTTAATTATCTTTATAAATCCAGTGTATCCTTATATGATTATATTGCAATGTCATGTCATGCAACCCCACCTATTGATGTTTTTTGTTTTTACCTTCCAAAGCGATTGACGAAAAGTCCCACGGAGAAGGATCCAAAAATGCCCCCGATGGAGAAGACGGCGACGGAGATGGACCACAGCGTGGTGAGATACGTTTCAGGGATTGACGTCGAGTACCGGTCAAACCAGGTCTCATTATAGAAGCTCTCAATAATCTACGAGAGTGGAAACGGATCCGCTATCACTGATGAGGCAACTGGGGAATTATCAGTTAAAGCCATTATCTTATCTTATTTAATAAATGTCTACTAGTCCCCCAGCAGGGCAGTATATAAAAAAACAGGTCTCTCTCTGTTACTCCTCCACCTCTAGAGCACATCAGCATCACATTCGGCTGGAGACCCTGAATGGCAGGGCATTTATCTGACCTGAAAGAAAGTGCGAGGCTGGCAGTTCCAAAGTAGGACAAAAGGGGGCAAAATTTCACAATGAAAATAAAGGGTGCTGAGCCCGAATAAACCCCCTTTCACCAAAACCCACCATTCAGTCTTTGCTATGATTCACCTCGTCTGTAGGCCACTTTCACAGCGATTGCTGAATAGCGAAATTTGGCCAGTTCAGGCTAATTAAGTACGGAACGCGGTCAGCCTTTCAGACAAGATTCTTCACTCTGAGCTACATCATTTACATAAACACTGTGGCAGTCGTGCTTTACTGCCATAGCTGTAGCAGAGTAAGTTCATCGCTAAGGCTGCTCTTAGGCCTGAATGTTATGCTAACCTAAGAAGGGTTATTAGGGTTGAGCTGCATGGGTTCCTTAGGGGCCTCCTCGGTTCCTTAGGGGCCTCCTCCAAGCAGCAGGGTTGCCCAGCCATGTCCGGGGCCACAGGCACGCAGTCCGCAAGCCCCGTTCCCAGCAGGCTGTGCGAGGTGGACAGCGCAGCGCTGACTTGTTCCCTAGCCCTTTATAGGGACATAATCTAATAAGCCCAGGGCTATTCTGGGTGATGGCCCACGTCAGGCTTCCTCGCTGCCACCTGAGTGTACAGAGCCGCATCGGTGCTAGAATGTTAGCGTTAGCGCATTTACTGCAGACGCTCACTCCTGAGTGTGTGTAGGGGGGTTTGTCTGCATATCGATCCGCTTGTGACAGCATCCTGTCAGCACGGATATACACACACGCCCACTCGGTCTGTTCTTTGGGGGGGAGGGGTTAAGGTCTTGGTCTGAATTCATGAAATTTTGTCCCATTTCCCTTTCCTTACAGTCTAGGTAAACACAGAGGTATAAAGTTCAGGTCCAGTAAGTACAAATCCAGGCCAAGACTTTGTTCCAACCAACTAGGTGAGTATTAAGAGTCGCATTTGCAGAGTACTCAACAGGTTGGTTGGAACAAAACCATGATCTGGATTACTACTGTCTGGACCTGAATTTTCCACCTCTTGGCAAACGCAACAAGATTTCTTCTTGCTCATCTGCTCCTCAGAGCCCTGTTCTTCCACCAACTACTGGGCACCAGTATGCTGCCCACTGATTTAACACTGGGATACCGTGTAATGTCAGCTAAGGAAGGTTAAGCGGAGATATAGTGAGACAGCGTTCCTGGAAGCGGGATACTGCTGCAGCTAGCTGGCTAACAGGTGTCCTGAGGTGACGGCTCTGTTCCCGTCGCATGACGGGGTTACTTGCCTTCTGAGGGGCATTGATGACCCCCGTGTTGTAGCCAAACTGCAGCGAGCCGATGACAGCGGTCCCCACTGCCATCATCAGCTGCAGCGTTATTCGCTGAATGAATTTGGGGAGGGGGGGAGAGTAAACAAACAAAAAAAAACATTTTAATTCATTGATCTTTATAGTTAAAAAAAATCAACAAAATCACCTTGAAACAAAGCAAAACATCAGAAAGTATCAAATACAGGTTTCATAATTACAATAAGCACATGGCCAAATTATATACCTTCAATGCTTCTACCGTCTAGCTGTACTTATATTATATACTTTCTTGTTGTATATTGGTTATTAACTCCTTTAGCTATTGTGCTACAAGTTAATTTTAAAATGATGCTAATTATTTTAACCAAGAGCACAAGACGCTAAACCCCCCTCAGACTGACCGCAAAGTTACAAATAACTATAAAGGGACAGTGGTGGTCTAATGGTTAGGGAAGTAAACTTGAGACTGATAGGTTGCTGGTTCGCATCCTCGACCAAAAAGGTACCACTGATACCCTGAGCAAGGTACTGCTCCCTGGGTGAGAAATTGGCTGCCCCTGCTATATCACATATGGGTTAATGCACTGTGTGGTAAAAATGACGATCAATTACTTCACTTTCAATGTCTCCCTTACACTGAAAAGCTAAACAAATAGGCAGCTAAGAGCAAAGGACTGAAAGCTGAATCCAGTGGAAAACAATATGAGGCAAAGTCTGTCCTGGGTAACTTCATTCATAAAGACACAGACATTCAACACACACAGTGGCCTGCAATCGACTGCCTGATGACACACAGGTAACTTCTCAATCAAATCCACAAACTTCACACCCCTCCATATCATAACCATCACTTGGCACCCAGAAGCTCCACCTAGATTCACACATCTACTCTAAATCCTGTCCAAGGAGCACTAAAAACAGGCTTGACATATGGAAGAGTGCCACAGCTCCTCAGTGATGCAGCAGAGTGACCCTGTTCCCTCTCCAAGGGACCATTCATGGTCTGTATATTTGATTTGTGACCTGAACACCAGTCTCCTCCAGAATTAGACCCTGGGCCTTAGTTCTCCTCTCACCAATATTTACTTCAGATTTTCATGCTAGCGCAACAAAAATTTAAATGCACTGTCAAAATGGAAAATCAAAGTGGAAAAAATATGAATGAACACACTGAATCCTAGTGCTTACCACCAACTGTGAATTAGCGGATTTTCATCCCAGCTGAGGAGAATTAAATCTGATTAAGCTGTGACATAGACCACTGGTCAGCGGGTGCATTAACTGGAGAACTGTCGGAAATTTTCCTATTGTGTTAAAGTAAATTGTCATCAAAGAGAACTGGAATGAAAAAAGGTCAGATATTTTAAAATGTGACTGGTTTTCCTCTTAAAGAAAAGTCACATGACACTAAACATGATCAAAAGACTCTAAGCATCCCAATCACTGTCTGACTGCCTCTCTATTATCTGGTAAATGCTACAGGACACACTCACACTACCAGTCTCAAAAACAGCATCTTCCCCAAAGCAATCACACGACTGAACACTGCACTGCACCTCTCATATGACATATATACCCAGGTATTATTATTATATTCATACTGAAACATCTCTTTCCCAAATGCAGCCTTTTACTCTGGAAGAACAATAGTGTTGAAGTGAAATACAAGTGGCTGAAATGAGTTCCCTTCGCAGGGTGTCTGGGCTCAGCCTTGGAGAGAGGATGAGGAGCTCAGACATTCAGGAGAAGCACAAAGTAGAGCTGCTCCTCCTCCCCATCAAAAGGAGCCAGTTGAGGTGGTTTGGGCATCTATCTAGGACGCCTCCTGGACGGCTCCCTGGGGAGGTGTTTGGGGCACGTCCAACCGGGAGGAGGCCCTGGGGCAGACCCAGGAGACGCTGGAGAGATTATATCTCTGGGCTGGCCTGGGAACGCCTTGAGATTCCCCCGGAGGAGCTGGAGGAGATGGCTGGTGAGGGGGAGGTCTGGGCATCCCTGCTTAGACTGCTGCCCCTGTGACCCGACCCCAGATAAGTGGCAGATCATGGATGGATGGAGGGATGAAACTCAATTTAAAAAATTATAATGGTTAAATGCAATACAAGCAAATACTATTCTGCAAAAATCCCCTGTACTAAATATTACATGTAAATATTATTTAATGAATGATCACTGTTTTTTACACTCTTGTCTGAATCTATAATGGAGAGTCTATTGTTTATTTTTATCTACTGCTTTTGAAGCTCTATAGACTTTCGTTAGATAATGTATACATAATAGCAAAGATGCTTTTTGTTTTGCTTTGTTCATTGCAGTTTCTGGCAACTCCCCAGCGATCTCAATTAAACCTAAATCACAGCTGGAACGAAAACAAAGACTGCAGTAACACCAGCACCGGACGATAAAAACACTACGATGGCTAAACTCATTTTTATTTTCTCTTTTTAACCTTTTATATGTAAAATATTCCATTAACCACAAATTGCCGACTTTTCCTCTGGGGATACATGACATCTGGAAATGAGTTGGGCATCAAAAACTAAATCCTGTAAAAGAAGTGAGATAACCTAATTGTCAGGAACAGAGTGCTCTCTGTCTGCTGTAAACCAGTTAACTACACAAAACATATTAGGTTCCCAGAGGAGAGCCATCGCTTTTTTTTGGGCCACGCTTCAGGTCGTTAGTGCTGCTGGAGAAGTGCTGGATAAGGGAATACAAATGTCCAGATATGGACAGAGTCAAGAATGGAGGAGGGAGGTCCTCCACAGGGGGTTACATCATCCAAAAGAAGGAATCAGCCAATCAGGGCAGGCGTCAGGGGTCTATGAGTTCATGCTGTGCTTTACCTAAACTTTCCTCCATCCCCCACCCCCCTTAAAAGTCCGTGACTGTGGTTAAAATATGCAGCATGAACTTAATGGAGCCCCCCTCTATTTACTTTCAGACACTTTAGTTGTGACCCAAACTATATGCAGAGATTTTTTTTTCGTTCTCCAAGCACTACTATGCAGAGAAAGATGCATTAGAATATAATAGAAACCACAGCGTCCAGAGAGCTGCAGCCTCTCAAACGCTGTTGGAAATTAAAAAAAAAATGTGGAATCAGAAAATGCTGAAACTTCCGAAAGCCCCCATACATCAGAACAATTCAATTTTATATAGCACCTTTCACAACATAGCTGGACCCCTTGCACTGACAAGTGTGTGTGGCAATGCGTGATTACTTCATTTACACTAAACTGGTCATGATTGAGGGGAAAAGTAAATTCCAGAAGGCAACAGAGAAATGAACCAAAAACATCCTGTTGTACTAGCAGGGAAACCTCCGGGGTCCAAGACCCACTGGCTGCTAACCTTCCGACAGGCGAAACAAAGAAAAAAGAGAAGTATCACGCTTTAAGAAACGCGAGGTGTAAAGCGGCTCGTCAGGAAGCCAGGTCTCCGCGCGGATCTCTGTGGGGCACACGCCCACACGCTTTCTGAAAGGCGTGTCACATATCCCCCCCTCCAAATGCCCCCCCTCACCATTGCACTGACACGCAGGAATTCAGCCTTGAAACACTGTATACTCCTCTGTCTTTTTTTAACCTTTCACCCACACATTTTTTGAGGCCAAGCAAAGTGGGGGCAGAGATGTTTTTTGGAAATATGGAACAGGGATACCTTCCTGGGCCTAGGACAGCCCCCCCCCAAACGCAGGCAAGATGGCAGGAGGAACAAGGATACAGTAAAACTGTTCAATGGAGTTAGTTTAGACCCATGACTTCAGGAACAAATATGACAGTGTCTCTCTCTGCAGACTCATGCTTACCAGGAAAGGCTGGTCTCAATTAGTGCACAATGAATGAAGCACTTATGAAGCCTCCAGTCAGGTTTGTGCTATGGAGTACTTCTTTTGTTTTTCCAAGAATAAACTGTAGTTTGTCTGTATTGATTATAGAGTGGTCATCAGTTTTTCCACCTACCTCAATCACATTATGCCTGACAAATAAAAACAAACCTGAGTGTGTTTTTGCACGGATGGCCTCGAGAATTACACCACGAGCATGAAGACTTTGTAAATGTTCAAAATGCATAATCCGAAACTACTGATTAGCTGAAATGTTATTGCTGTACCACACCCACTATAAGGCCTCAGCAGAGCCGGGGTGAAGTGCATTCTGGGAGCCATTGTGCACGATCAAAATGACTTTGGCTTTTATACTGTAACGCCTTGATTAGTTTTCTTTACATTGTTACACGCTCATGAATATGACAGAGTGTTTGTGCTTACATGCCTGTAAAATCCATCCCAACATGATAAATGAGCTCTAGTAGTCTCTGAGGTTGAAATTGGATTAAATCTGGGCTCCATAATGCTTGGCCAATGTTTATTACCCTTAAAATAGGGATATTAAACCAGGCCTCTGTCCCTCCAGTTGCCTCGACTCCATAAGCAGCATATCAGAGACAGCAAATGAATTATGTTTTAATTTGTTTGCATTTGGATTATTGCAATGTTGACTTGACTGTGACTAACATCACTTCCATTGTATAAGAATAACAGCCATAATGGTTCTCGATTATAAATGTGAAGCATAGCATCTCATGTCACAAATGTTTCTCATGCTAAAGCAGAGAAACAACTGCTGGTATTCTCCTGCATGTGTGAGCTTCCCTCCCGGGTTCTCTGCTGGTATTCTCCTGCATGTGTGAGCTTCCCTCCCGGGTTCTCTGGCTGGTTCTCTCCTGCATGTGTGAGCTTCCCTCCCGGGTTCTCTGGCTGGTTCTCTCCTGCATGTGTGAGCTTCCCTCCTGTGTTCTCTGGCTGGTTCTCTCCCGTGTGTATCCTTCTAGCCCCCTCTGACTGCATGTGGCAGTGCCCAGTGACCTCAATGCCACCCTGCTGAGGAATAAGCCAGCTCTATGCCCTAAAATTACTGAGATGGGTTGCAATTGGAGGCACCATGGTTAGAGTGAATATGTATAGATAGTATAGAGTACAGTACAGATACATAGTATAGATATAGTATAGAGTACAGTACAGATACATAGTATAGATACAGTACAGATACATAGTATAGATATAGTATAGATACAGTACAGATACATAGTATAGCTATAGTATAGATACAGTATAGATACATAGAATCAGAAACTGCAGCATGTGAGCAGGGGTCCCTAAGGACCAAAAGCCAAGGTTCTCAGCTTTCCAAAAAATGCTAACCTGGGGGGGCTTGGGATCCCAATAATAAAACTGGTTGGGTCACATGTTCCGGATTCAAACGTACCTCAGTTACGCTGTGAGTCCACCAGTTGGCGGCCAAATGTGTAGTGTGACAAGCCCACTTCCCACTGCCAAACCTGATACCCTGCATGTACGCTGTGATGCTAAGCACATATACTGGGTGAGCTTACGTGCAGACATAAGAAGCGTGAAATGACAGAAGCAGGATTTATTCATGGCAGATAGTAACGGGTAATGGGCAAATTCCATGGTGAAATTTAGGTGAATAACGCTACCAAGCTAAGGATACTGCCCTCTATACCCCAACAGTTTTTAAGACAGTGATGCTCTTCGGAACACCAGATCTGAAAACTAACTTTTCACAACAGGAAACCAGTTACAATCAACATTAGAATGTCTGATGTCAGTCAGGGGAAAGTATTTAACAAAGCTGTTTGGACCACAACACCCTAACCAAAGAGCCAATGATTCATTTATCATTTTATGGGTTTCTTCATTCTTCTTCATTGAATGCACTCGTTAGACGAAAAGGATATAATCATCGTTTGTGCACAACTGCCAAAAAAGCGACTAGAGTCTCAGTACTATTGCCCACCTCTGTTTAGCCAATATAGATATTAATCCACGCAGTTTCTAAAGAGACTTCGGCAGAAATACTAAAGAAGCCCCTGGAACTGATCTGAGAAAAATGCAAAACGTTTTACAACATCACCTTGGGAAAAATCAACGCAGACCAATACATTTTTTAATTTATTCACTTTTGACTCAAATTAAAAACTTAAAAAAATCAACCCAAGATGCTGGAGACGACCCAGTTTTTGCTTCCGTTTCGTTATCTAGGTCAACCATAAGTACACTGTTCTAGAAAATCGTGGAAGTAGTGATCAAGTATTAGTATTAGTACAAACAAGACACATGTCGCCAAGGTACATCATCTTACTAAACATCATCTTAGTAAAATATGTTTTGGAAGTTTTGGCATATACAGGGACTGTAAAATATAACAATACCAAGATGTTAAAGTAAAAATATAACACATCTAGTAAGAATACACAATTAGAAAACTACTGCAATTATTTTTGCTCATGATATTTTTTTTGCGAAAAGGGTATTTTAGGGTTTAGCATCAAATTCTAAAAATCACAAAATTAGTCCACTGTCCACGTTATCTATTTATGCGATAATACTCTAGTAACACACCGTGAAACTTTTTTAGTGAGGCTGACGCAACTGCGCCCGGGCTGCGAGACGCAGTGACGCTACGGCCGCATATTCTGTCACCAGCAGTCGCATGGCGCGCATAAGCACGAAGCGTAAATGTAAATATTTACCTTGTCACCGGATTCCATCGCGGTCACAAATACACGCTTTCCTTTTCAAAGTCTCTTTAAGTCTCTAAGCGCTTTCCTCACGTCGCTAAATAGCTGAGGTTTCAAAATGCTCTTCTAAAGCCGGAGGTCTTGGAACACGCAACAACGCAGGAGCATACGTGTACGTATTTAATACGTAAAACACTTAAGAAAAAGACGGCAAGCAGAAACATAGTTCATCGTATCCGAGAGAGGCAGGGAACTTCAGCCAGCGGGATAGCTGTATCTTATCCTCACTGAGCTATGATGTAGAAGAAGACATCTCCTGCAGAACTCGGCAGAAATGCACCGGTCTGTTCCTGGAGAGGGTGAGGTACTCCGCGTGCAGGACTGCCGCAGCTTTGATTAGCCAGTTATCGCTGGCGGAAGCCCCGAGGTGGAGGTGTGTGGGCGAGCGGAGCTTCCTCATTGGCTGCGTGCTGTAGCCCCGCCTGACTATCTGCCGGCTCGACAGGCGGCGGCTGCGGCGGTGGACGGAGGGGTGGGGTGGTTGGGGTTGGTTGAGCAATTTTTCAGTGAGAATTGGAAATGGGGATCACGATCCCTTTTCCGTGAGCCTAGTCTTTCAGAATCGTCCATAGATTCGTTCACTTTTTTATATTTTTGTAATAAAAATCTGTTAACATTACATTTTTATTAAATGGTTTAACAAAAGTGGATGAGATAAACAATGTTAATATATACATATTTCATTTGTGGTTACATATTAAAAGTGTAGTCAAATTATTCAAATTTAATTCAGCTTTAATTGCATAGCGCATTTTACATTGTGTCGAAGCCCTTTACATTATTCCTGCCCAGTCCCTCCAGAGAGCAATATCTCCTTAATACTTGCTGTGCTGGTGAAATGAACCAAGAATCTGTCAGGGAACAAACTGAATTGATAATAAATCATTTGAACGAATCAATAGAATAGAAGAGATCATTTCATTCACTCAAAAAGGAGTCAAGTGACAATCAAATATGTTTGATAAGATCTGTTTCGAGTAATCCATTATTTTTACATTACGTACGTCACATACAGAGTGTGATTTACTTTCCACGTATATATTTAGGTCTTAATTCTGCGTAGACGTAATCAAACCTAACTGCACGTGTTTAGGCTGCAAAGGAAGAGCTTAGGGAAGAGCCGACAGCCACCTCAGAGCAGAATCAGTTAGTAAATCTGAAATTGCCTTTATTCTGAAGAATTTACAGCGTTTTGTACATTTAGTAAATAAATAATTTTCTTAAACACTGAAAACCATTAACCGAGACATTGACTGTGGGGGGAAAACGGAGTACCCGGAAGAAACCCCACGACGACACGGGGAGAACATGCAAACTCCACACACATGTGGAACCCAGGTTCCAGAGGTGTGAGGCAACAGTGCTAACCACTGCACCACCATGTATACACGATATATCTATTTTTAGGTTAAGTTGAAACTGTCTTGTATTATAAGAACTTTCATAACAAAGATGAAAAAAGATGAAAAAATACTTCTAAATTCTTTTATCTGTTTTACATATAATTGTTCTAAAAAGTACAATGTGCGGAAAATAATACAAAACTATACCCAACTACAGTCTCTGTGACATTATTGTTTAAATTAAAAATGAAAAAGGCAGTATTAAAGTAAACTTAGATAAGTGCTTGTCTGTGTCTGAGTCTGGTGACAAAACTAAGGCGAGACCTTAAACTCAGACAGCAGAACATTGTGAGGCCCAAAAGCAAAAAGAAAATAATCTTTAAGCCGGAACGGGAAGAAGTTTACGTGCATAGAATACAATGAGAGGGGAATATTAGAAATGCTGGCAGATATCGTGGAATTTTGTCCCCTTGTGCTTCATGTCATGTCTTTGAAAACCAACATCAACAAACAAAAACAGACAATTCCTAAAACAAAGACAGGTGGGTGTGTCCCGGCAGCCAGACCAGTAGAGAGGCGCAAGATATGAACAAATATCTTCAGGTACTTGCAGACCATACCAGTATAACATGGGACAATGGAAAAATGCCCAGCCGTCGAAGCCATTTTCGGAAGGGGGAGAGGTTTACGTTAAAACTCGCGAGGTGTGTGAGCCGAGGAAATGCAGCAGACCAGCATAATAAACTGCAGCAGCAACAAGCCCGAGAGCCAGTCGAGTGAGAGAAGTGTCATCAAAGTGGTGAAAGAGAAGATCGCGGAGAAGCAGAATCAATGGCTCTGGAGCTCTGGGGGGCTGTTAATGAAATGCAAACCTGAAATGCAAACCTGAAATGCAAACCTGAAATGCAAACCTGAAATGCAATTCTATAAATGATTTTTTTTTTAAGACTAAGGTGCCTGTAACTTAGCAAAATCCTTAGATTCAACACTGGGATTAGTCCATGTTAGTGACAGTAGGAAAGATCCCCTCCTCCCAGATCACAATCTGAGCTACAAAGCAACCAAAGGGAAATAGGTTAACAGTGACTGATACGCCGACTGTGGGTTACGAGAACCTGATTTCTCCCATTACTGGTTGATGGTAGAGGAAGATCAAGGTATGCTGTACTAGAATGACTGACCCCTGCACTGGGATTAGTGGGTGGAGCAAGATTGGGGTTTATGCACATACCTGGAGGTTTTCTTCTTCATGGAATGTTTTGAATTACAAACTACAACAACTCTTCGGGCCACAACATGCAGACCACCTGGTTTGGTGTCTCACTGTGATTGGTTATATGCTGTGACATCATCTTGGCTGTCTTGCTAAGAGATGCCTTACGGGGGTACGTATAACTTACGGCATAAACTCATTTCATTACACAGAAGTACAGTGTTTGATTGTGTACATGACAAATAAAACTTGAAATGCAGATGAAAAAGGGGAAAAAAGCCACAGCTATGTGTAGCCATTTGAGAACCAATAAGAGATCAAACTTCCAGTTCGTTAAACATTACACATTCCTTCATACAGACAAGGCCCATCCTGTCGTCGATGTCAGAACAGGGCATTAGAATGACACCAGACTTTCTTCCTCAAACTACAGACTGTGAACAATGAAATGGCTGGGCGCAGTCATAAATGCGACATGGACCATTTTCGCCAGTGACGCATGCAGTGTTCCCTTTTGTTCCAGGTGTCCAAAAATGTCTGGTTTGTGCAAAACCAAAATCCAGGAAAATAATCATCAGGAAAAAGGAAAAACATCCAGGGAAAACATGCAAAACAATAGGAAAATAAAAAAATACTGTTGGCCACTGATGTTTGTTCTTTTATCACACGCCTTTGAAAATGAATAAAAACAACAGACAAACGTAGAGACAAAGAGCGGGTGGGTGTTTCATGGTGCCGGTATTGTCTGCTGATCAGATATGATGCAAGGCGACCTTTCGGGGTTCATCAAACTGTACTAGCATCTGCGCAGAAGAGCTTATGGAAAGTTTTGGCGACTTATCTCAACACAATGCTAATCATGTATTTTAAAAATGGTCTTTGCTCTTCATGGGCCACAGACGACTCACTCAAAGCTTTTAATCAGTATTGAAGGCTTCCATGGAATGTTTTTGACCTTGTGGCTGGTTTAATTTTTAAATAAATTCATAATTCATGAATTATTCTCCACACAGTGCCATATAGAGTCTTAGAATCAAACTCACTCAATTCCAAAAGAAAATTCTAATAAAATAAACAGGTAACGACAGACAAAAATGGCAATAGAAGAGATGACTTTTCAGATTTGTTAGTAGCAGTAATTCCGCATGAAAATGAACAATATCGCGCAAAATCCCGTGCGCATTGCACGCTTTGGAATACAACACACACACATCCCTTTCTGTATAGAACTTTCCATGTTATCGTTGTTTTACACCAAGCTGTAAGACTGCATTGAAGGCGCAGCAATAATATCAGCTGCTGATCGACGCGGAGAGGAGTAAAAATGTATCTGGGTAGCTGTAGCAGTGTGTCGCTTAGGAGAACAGGAAGTAAGATCCAGAGAATTCTAAGAAAGGCTACTGTCTGCTTCATACCCTGGTCTGTTCAGGCAGCCATCTTTATTTTGGTGAGTTAATAGCACAGAATGACAAACTCTGTCTGTCTAGCTGCAGCTTTTTATTGCTTCTCATCTCCTGCCCATCATGTCCTAATGAGGGACCAGCGTACGCAGGCCTGCATACAGGTGCAAGTCCAATCGGAAAGACAGAGGAGCCAAAGCAGGCATCAGCGCCCACATTACCAAAGCAGGCATCAGCGCCCACATTACCAAAGCAGGCATCAGCGCCCACATTACCAAAGCAGGCATCAGGGATTTAAATACAGAGAAATTCAACATGCTGTGCAGGGGAGTAGCGAGGGTTTTAAATGCCACCTGGATGTGGACAAACGTCAGCAGATTTCTCTGTGTCGTGTTGGATCAGGGTGGGCAGGGGGGCTGCTAATGTCTCTCAGGTAGGTGAGAGTCATTCAGGACTGACTTGGCCTGTGATGGACGTACTCGTATACAAGAGGCGGAGCCATCTGAACAACTTCAAAGCAACACTCGGTTCAAACAAGACCTGCTGTGAGATAACCCTGCATTCACATTCACATTCATTTACAGTACATTTTGCAGCCATGCAATACTTTCCATGACATTTTTTGCATTGTTACTGCTTGTTATTTTTTTATTATTATTTATTATTGCTGCTTATGTTTACCATCTAAACTTGTGTGATATTAATCTCCAATTTCCTTCTTGATTAATACAATATCTGTCTGTCTGTCTATCTGTAACTCTGAATTTTCTTTTCAGTGCAAAACCATGCATGTTTACCTATATGCTAAAATTAAACCAACATAGTCATATTTTAATGTCTAAATTAAAAACATTTTAGACATTTGTTTTTGCGCATTATTGTTACAAAGTTAACTTTTTGTTGTCTCAGGTCTGAATCCTAAGCCCACTGTGTTATGTTGGTTACATCCTGTCATACAAATGCACAAAATGTAGAACTGGTGTCTCTAAATTTCCCAGTTTCCTTGTGCATGTG